AATGTGATTATCGTTCACATATTTGAAATACGTTTAATCGTTTTATGAAATGTATATATATTCTAATGTACACAAATCTGCCTAACAATGGCACATACAAAATGTAATAAGAATGTTTCAATATAGTGATAAACCTCATTTTGACGTTTGATAAATGAATGTACGGTTTCACTTATTACATTGAAATTAAATGTCAGTATACTTGAAGGTTAATTGATACAACTGACCTTATTCGTATTAAGTAGTATAATTGAAATTTATTTCATTTACAATTAATTCAACCAATATTCCATATTAATTATCAGAATGGGGTTTTGTGGAGATTTAGTATTTTTCATAGTAGAAAGCATGAGTCAATTGAAGCTAGACCACCATGGAAAACCTGGAAACACTGGACGGCCGTTTCGTCTTATTATGGGACTACTCAGCAGTGCGCATTACGTGTAAGAAAAGTGATGTCTACCTCATAAACACAATAACCGTTTTACATGACTGCGTACACAAACAAGTATTTTTTTCATCATTAATAACTGGTTAACTACAAATAACAATGTTGCGTTTATTTACAACACCATTTTTATAGCTAAACTAGACACCTTATTTGTATTAAGAATAACTGTTTGCAAAATAACCCAATTATAAAGATTAATTGCTTCTTTCTGAGAAATTATTATTATTTTAAGGTAGAGTAAAAGTTGCTTCATTTACCGATCCTTTACGGTGACCGTGATTTATGCATGCCCCATTCATTACTGAATCACTATAATTTAGTGAGGTGTTTACACGCATATAACGTTTATTAAAAGAGCGAACTGTGTTAAAATAACTTATGAGAATACTTAGATGAAAATTTGTTTACTAATTGTGTATTAAACATTTGACTAACTTTCAAATTCAATAATCACCATTCTCAACTATTAAAAACAGCTGTCAGTTTTTTCACGAATTATCTTTCACTTACTTACTTTCGCCTGTTACTCCCAATGGAGCATAGGCCGCCGACCAGCTTTCTCCAACCCACTCTGTCCTGGGCCTTCTTTTCTAGTTCTTTCCAGTTCTTGTTCATTCTTCTCATGTCTGTCTCTATTTCTCGGCGTAATGTGTTCTTTGGTCTTCCTCTTCTCCTTCGACCTTCAGGATTTCATGTGAGGGCTTGTCTTGCGACACAATTGGGTGATTTCCTCAAAGTGTGCCCAATCCATTTCCAGCGCTTCTTCCTGATTTCTTCTTCCGCTGGAATCTGGTTTGTTGTCTCCCACAGTAACTTGTTGCTGATAGTGTCTGGCCATCGGATCCGAAGTATCTTGCGTAGACAGCTGTTAATAAACACTTGTATCTTCTGGATAATGGCTTTCGTAGTTCTCCACGTCTCTGCCCCATACAGAAGAACTGTCTTGACATTTGTATTGAAAATTCTAACCTTGGTGTTGGTTGACAATTGTTTTGAGCTCCAGATGTTTTTCAGCTGTAGGTATGCTGCTCTTGCTTTGCCGATCCGCGCCCTCACATCTGCATCTGATCCACCGTGTTCATCAATGATGATGCCCAGATATGTAAAGATTTCCACATCCTCCAAAGCTTCTCCGTCAAGTGTAATTGGATTGGTGCATATTGTATTGTATCGGAGAGTCTTGCTTTTCCCTTTGTTTATATTGAGACCTACTGCTGCTGAGGCTGCTGCTAAACTGGTCGTTTTCTCCTGCATTTGTTGTTGCGTTTGTGATAGAAGAGCCAGATCATCCGCGAAGTCTAAATCGTCAAGCTGCATCCTGCCTGTCCACTGTATCCCGTGCATTCCTCCAGATGTTGACGTCTTCATAATCCAGTCGATCACCAGGAGAAAGAGAAAGGGTGAGAGTAGGCAACCTTGCCTAACACCGGTCTTTACCTCGAACGAGTCGGTGAGTTGTCCTCCGTGGACGATTTGGCAGTTTAGTCCATCATAGGAGTTCCGTATGATGTTGACTATCTTCTCAGGCACGCCGTAGTGTCGAAGAAGCTTCCATAGTGTCGTCCTGTCCACGCTATCAAATGCCTTCTCGTAGTCGATGAAGTTGATGTACAGTGATGAATTCCATTCGATTGATTGTTCCACAATGATACGTAGAGTTGCGATTTGATCTGTGCACGATCTATCCTTACGAAATCCAGCTTGTTGATCTCGAAGTTGAGCGTCCACGGAATCCTTCATCCTGTTTAACAATACTCTGTTGAAGACTTTTCCTGGTATTGAGAGGAGAGTGATGCCCCTGTAGTTGTCGCACTTGCTCAGATCGCCTTTCTTTGGTATCTTGATCAGAAATCCTTTTTTCCAGTCTGTTGGTACATGTTCTTCGTCCCAAATCTTACCGAAGAGGATGTGGAGTATCTTGGCAGTTGCTGTTACATTTGCTTTCAGTGCCTCTGCCGGGATGTTGTCTGGTTCCGCTGCTTTGCCACTCTTGATTTGTCTAATGGCCATGCTGATCTCCTCAATTGTTGGTGGGCCAATATCGATTGGGAGGTCTGTGGGTGCTGCTTCGATGTTGGGTGGGTTCAGTGGAGCTGGTCGATTCAAGAGTTCTTTGAAGTGTTCTACCCACCTGTTTCGTTGTTCTTCAATATCGTTGATTACTTTGCCTTCCTTGTTTTTCACTGGTATTTCTGGTTTACGGTAATTTCCAGCAAGTTTCTTTGTTGTATCATACAGTTGTCTCATGTTTCCCTCTCTTGCAGACTTTTCCGCTGTCATCGCTAAATCTTCCACATATTTACGTTTGTCGGTCCTGATGCTCCTCTTCACTTGCTTCTTTGCCTCTGTGTATTCGCCTTGTGCCTTGGCTTTTTCTGCTCTTGTTCGGCTGATATTGATTGCTGCCTTCTTGTTCCTCCTTGCTTCAATTTTATCCAGTGTACCAACAGTGATCCATTCCTTGTGATGGTGCTTCTTTATCTTTCAACGATCTACATATTATTTCTCTTGCCACGATAACTAACAACTTCATTTGCATTTCTACTTGATTGAAAAAAACATATCCCGATATACATTCACTAACAAGTTTCTCAGGGTAATGAAATGGATTTTTTTTTCGGAGTTAAACAATTTATCAAAACTCAGACGGAACAGTCAGACATAATTAATTATTGTAAATAAAATTGGAATGTAAAAATGAAAATTTTCAAATCCAATCAAACCACTTTATGCTATTTCGATTTGAACTAATCAGATTACAAAGCTGCACCATTTACAGCCAATTAAAAAATTATTACAGGTGACAAAATGTTTGTTCATTTTTACTTGAGCACACACTTTCAAAAACAAGTTCACCAATCACCAATTGCTAAATTTTTTAACACCCTTCAATTTCGAATCATAAGTGCCATCAAATCAATGTCAACCGTTTCATCCAGACATCTCATACCAAAATATGCTGCTAGCAATGTTAGAGTACTTTGTCTATTGGCCACATTGCAATCCGATTGATAAAATTCGCTCAGCACTAAGAACTAGACAAACATGGTATAGGTCACTACTCAGTAACCAATCATCGTGCGTTTAGGACTCCAAATACCACCTAGATTTCTATGACAGTATTCTTAAGGTTGAACATTGCCCTTTGTTGTAACAATAAACAGTTTAATGATGTTTGAGTAGACAATGTAATCTAATAAGTACCTGAGAAGTTAGCAGTGAACTGAATAAATAAAGATAAACAAGAAATCAAGCATCAGACAAAATATAATAGGTATAGATTATGCAAATATTTTCTACACAGAAATATGAACTATAAACTTATAGCAAAAAGTAATTTAATAAGGTAAATGTTTAGAGACTCAACTTTACCATAACATGTGAAAACACAAACAAGTTTAGCAACGATGTTTGAATAACGATAACTACTCTCAAGAAAATGAGTTGATACGTAAAACTGAGGACACGAAACTAAAGAATAAACGTCGAAAGATTAACGGACAAGTCAGTTACAAAATAAATAAATATTGATCTTTATACTGAAAACGACTAGTCTGTAAGAATGGATTTTGTTCATTAGATACGCTATCAAACGAACTTTCTAAACAAGAACTTACCTTCAACTTTTTGCTTTTAATATGAACAGCGTTGAGCGATTGGGATGCGAAAAACTCCCTAACAAACCGATTGTTTAACAAAGAGGTTCTTAAATTGGTAGTATGTATTCCCACAAATTTTGAAAAACACTATACATACTTCAAAAATCATTCTTAGATTAAATAGTATTTACCACTAGTCTATAAAAAAGTTAGCTTTTGGGAGTCTCTATGATACTAACTGATTAACAGAGGGTTAGTTAGTTGACAATTCCGTGTTTGCTTTTAATAAATGGATCACTTTAAGGATCCATCGTGTCGACCAGCAAAAGCAAATTGAAAAATCATGCAGATGGATTTGTTTCTTCTGAATAGTGAATTGTAGGTTTGGAGGAAACAAATTGGAAGAATGTAGAGTCTTAAGTAGATAAATGTTGTCACTACTTATTGAAACAACTTATCATCATTTTAACTAATTCTGAATATTATCGGAGAGCGGGTTTGCTGGAGATTGTAGTAATTCACTAGTTGGATTCACTAGACGATTAAAGCTAGACCACCATGGAAAACCTGGAAGCACTGGACGGTCGTTTCGTCCTAGTATAGGACACCTCAGCAGTGTTCATCCACGATTGGTTGAAGTTAGATATTAACACAGCTGGATACCGGCTCAGTGGTCTTGAGGTTAAGAGTTCGTGCGCGAAACCGAAGGTCTAGGGTTCGAATCCTGCGCGTGGGATCGTGGATGCGCACTGTTGAGTCCCATAATGGGACGAAACGGCCTTCCAGTGCTTCCAGGTTTCCCATGGTGGTCTAGCTTTAATTGACTCACGAATTCAATTATTAATTCTGAATAAACGAGAGATTATAGTGCCGTCGCTACATCATGAACTAGTGTCGTAAAAGGAAAGCTAAAAGTATGATAAAGTGAACATAAAAGCTAAAACATTTACCTGTTTTTTGCCAATATCCCAAGGACATCGACTAAAATTGCGGTATCATTCATCATTAATGCAGACTCAACAGCTGTTTTCACACTATCTGGACTCCACATCACACGAACAGTTGACAAGCCTTTAACACGTGATGACATAACTTTCACGAAAGGATCATGAGGTTTACGAATTCGCAATAACAATTCTGCTTCTGATGGTTCATGAAGGCTCCCAGATTTATCATGTGTCTGATTTTTTATATTTTGAAGAACTGGATTCAATGCTAAGTCCATCATAGTCGGCAGTGAATGCTAAAAGTTTAACAAGACAGGCGAGGTCAGGATGACCGTGAATACTAATGGTACTAAATCCACTTATTCATACACTGTCCTATCCTGCATAAAATAATGAATTATCACTCGTACTTCCCTCCTTTACACCAATGAGACACTACACTGCTTAGAACGAACAGTGAACGATTTATTTGCGTATACGATTCACCCGCTCTATACTAGATACTCGGTCAGCACTGTTCTACTCTGCATTAACACAACTTAAACCAAGAATACGTAATTTGCCTGACTAGTAGGCTTATTAGTTAACGATCAGACCGACAATCAAATAAGTGCAAATGGCAGGGATATATATATATATATATATATATATATATATATATATATATATATATATATATATGTCACACTAAATACCTGTCAGTCTATCTACTATTTTGTCTGGGAAAACAAATCACTACTTCCTCACGCCCACACAACAAATAGGTACTTGTGAGTTCCACAGCAAGCAAAGCACTGAACTAGTTATTTCCATATTACATTTTTGATATGAAGCGATAATAATAATAATGCCTAAATGCTCGGTTCTCTAATATGAGGTTTAAAAGGAGGTACACTATAAGTATTATTTGTACAAACTATGGAAAATACGATGGACTAAGTGTATAAGAACTATGGTCCTGAATAAAGTTTTGCATCTCCTAGCCTATTTGTCAAATAGTGATTATAAAACCAAGTACGTCTACTAGAAAAAAGTTCAAAGTTCTTAAAAGACAATTACTCAATCTTAAAGACAAGCAAGTGATGACCACCAAATAATTCAGTAACAATGCCATATTTATACATAAATATCATTTTCATATTTCAACAGGCGAAAACTTACAATGTAAGAACTAGTTTTCAATATTTTAGGTCATAGAGAAACATAACTTACAGGTAAGAAATCTTCCACTTCAATTGCTTCCAGTGGGCATGAAGAATCGGAAATTATTCGAGCTTAAACAAAGATTGAAAACAAAAAAATTTATTTCACTCAGATACCCTAAATTTAGTCACTTGATTCAACTATACTTTCTAATTCAACAGTAAGCTCGAATTATATCCTAGTACATAGGTTGATAAATTAACGAATCATACGAAGAAGTGATTATTTGATTTATCGTCAAAATGTACATTGATTCAGTATTATATTACGCTGCATAGAATCAACATTCACAAAACACATTATCTGTAAGTTTGGAATTATAGGGTAAGTCTGTCTGTGATAAAATTGATCAATGGAATGTTGAGAGGCGTGCAGGAGAAGTACTTCAGATATCAATAAATCTGATAGCAATAAGTACCAGAAATATAAGAATAGCACAGTTTCTTCTAGGAAGTCATTTAATTCTCGAAAGCAATAAAAGTTTTTTTTAACTCTAGTATGGTTATCGGCTACGCATTAGTAATTACAAACCATCTCTCTTAACTGAAGGTTTTTTATCAGAAACATTTTATTAACAGCCCATCGAATATAAAAAAAGCTTGTCAGAGATTGGAAAAACGTATTTTCTGTCTACCAAATAAATATTTGTTGGAAAACAGTATAAGAAATGCTGAAATAAATAAAACAAACCAGCTTGTGAGATAGTAGTCTGATGAGGTCTTCTGGACATGCAAGCTGAAGTGGTACTCGGAGGTGTAAATGGTTTATCTGAAGTGAATCTGTCTGATAGGATATTTGATTGGACACATTTTGCTTCACGGGTTGTGGGATTCACAATGTTTGGTGATGAAGGAGGGAGACTGAAATTTAGCTTTGTGGTTGGGTCAGTTCCATATTCATTTGAAACATTTCTTCTAGAAGTTATAGCCCTTACTTGAGAAGGACTACGTGGGACTGTGTGATGTGGTTTAAATACCCTATCATATTCATCTGGATCATTTATATCAGCTGCATTGAGCGATTCGCTATCCTCAGTTGTAGGTTGATAAGGTAAATGTGCATCAGGATCGTCAGGATCCTCCTGAAAAAAAAATATACGGTTGAAGAGGCCATCTGCGTGTGAATATAAGTTCATTCTGCATTAGTCACATTTTGATCTTGTCAATTATTCGCTTACTAACCTTGACTGTTTTTGTATGAGCGTGTGTGTTATGAAGCGATCCCTTACTCATCACATGTCTGTAACTTATTTTTGTCTGACTATAAATATCGAGTCACGCTTGGTTAAATGAAGTTAGCTCACATGCTCTCTCCGACCCGTCTAGCATCGCTCTCTCCTCTTTGATTTGCCGCTTCTTATTCTGAATCTCTGTCTGGATAAACAACGCCACCCGTACTTGGCTTTTTATTACCGCCATCATACAAACGAGACTGGTCTAGGTAATAGACGGAGTTAAATGGGAGATTTATATTCATAGCATAGTCATATGTTCATCCAAATTGGAGTAAAATAAGCGGGCCAAAAAAAATACATGACCCACAGCTAAGTTAGCTAAGAAAAATAAACCTCTGTCCAACAGAAAATGATATTTATATTCCATGTAATGAGAAAATATGACAGTTGAACTTTGTAGTATGAATTGTACAACAAAAAACTTTGTGCATAAAATCCTGAAAAGGAATAAAAAAAATTTAGAAACTCACACTCATAACATTTTGAAGATTTTCCTCAGCGACAAGGCAGAAACTTTTACGTCCTATAGAACTTAAAACTTTTGATGCAGATGAACCACAGCGAGTAAATGGACGTTCATTACTCTGTTGAACAGAAAAGGTATTTGGCACAATTTTATGGACATTGTAACGAGTGCAAAAATACTCTTTTGAATTAAATACAACATTAAACTAAACCACTTAATGAACTTGTCCGTATATTTATAACAATTAAAAATCTTACTAATATTACATTTGTGACTAGCTTTCTTGGTTGACTGGTTAATTGTATAAGATATCTAAAAGAGTTTATTTTGCAACATTAATTCGGATAAAATTGCGAAAATTATCCTAACTTTGTCAGAGCAATCTCTATATGGTAAACTATTAGAATAGCATATAATAATAATTCGAAGTAGTTGTATTTGTTCAAAAGTAAAAGGATCTCATACAACCATTTCCCTTATGGAAAAAAGAACAGTAAAAGAACGTGGTTTGCAGAATAAAATTAATTTCCTCCATCTCATCTGCATGCTCCTTCTTATGATTTTTGGTTCCGATCTGGACATTCACTGAAACTTTACTGACTACAGTACGTTAAATCTAGGTTTATAATTATATTAGGTTGTATGCAGCTGGTATGAAGGCGTGAAATGGAGTGAATTTATTTTATTCTGCAATCCAGGTTGTTTTTCTACTGTTCAAATAAAGGTATCTGATATAGAAGTACACCCGCCATATTTTACTTCTCATTTCTTAAATGATTGACTCGATGTGATGAAATTCTAAAGCTTAGTTTAGATGGACGTCAAACGACCAAAATATGCACAATTATACATGTACAAAACTCCAAAAATCACAACACAATTTATAATTCCTCAATCTTTATTGACATCAGTTGCCAACTTCATGACGCGCACGGTGAAAGTAAACCGCTGATTGGTCAGTGAGCCCAGACAGACAGATCAGCTCTTGTGCATATCATGAAAAGTACATGGTTTAAAATGGGTCAAATGGAGACTGTTTCCCACATTGAATTTCACTTTTAGTACCGAAAATGCATGAGGAGAATGTCATGTGGATGGGAATTGTAATATCAAGAAGTACTGACGAATCACACATATGACACTGGCTTAAGAAATATGTCGCGAAATGCTAGTTTATCAACCCATTCAATACCTAAGAGGTTGATATTACAATTTCCATCCACATGACATTCGCCTCATGAATTCTTGCCACCAAAAGCGAAATTCAAGGTGGCCTCCCCTGAGAGAATTATTTTTGTAGTTTTCGAAATATCGACTTGGAACTTAGTCTTACATATGTAGTCAACTATCAAGAATTTTCTTTATACAGAAAAATTTACTTTTCGTGCCAACAAAATGACGTTAGGATTGCACAATGTTTTTCGAGGTCTATAACTCCTCTGACATTTCTTAAATTATATCACCTATTGCTCCTGATACCTGTTGAATTATTACTATAGGAAAGAGTGTTTCACATGAGTTGACTACTTAGAGGTGGTGGATACCTATATAAGACAAACACTTAATCATGAATGCGTTATAACATCGTCTACTATTAGGAACGAAGAGCGAATTTCTAGGAAATGAAGATACGTCAGTAGAAATAATTTTGAGCTTGTGCCAACTGAGGTAATGCCATGTACACCTAGTCATTAACTACTCTGAAGTATGATGTTGTGTGAAATAGAATCATAAGGTGGAGAAGATTTGTAGCATAGGTGGGTGATTTCGGTGGAGCTTTGTTCTCTGAGCTGGAAGGTCTAGTCGTGGAGCTTTCATCGTCCTTCTGAACGCCATCACCAGAAGTTTGTGTTGATGATGTCGTTCAGAAGGACGATGAAAGCTCCACGACCAAACCATCTAGCTCAGAGAACAAAACTCCATCGAAATAGAATCAGGTTTGAGAACGTTAGAAATAACCAGATCAAGAAATGACATCAAATTACAAAGATCAATAGAGTGACAGAGAATCGGATAATCTAAAAGAAATAATCCAGAATTGTTCGAAATAACGCACATATATTTACCCTTTATCTTAACCTTAAACATTTCACTAGTATTAGTATACTATCACTTTCATATATATATATATATATATATATATATATATATATATATAACTCCGCCTGTAGCTCCTCTGGGGGTTACTGCCGGTCCCAAGCCCGGGTAAAGGAGGAGGGTTGGGCATGGGGTTAGCGACCCCATCCCGTAGAAAACCAACTCGCTAAAAAAACGCTAACCAAAAAAATTATTAAAACCATTTAAACTCTGCCCTGGGAGTAGAGGGAAGAATTATGACGTCTCATTATGAAAGCCGAGTTCATTCGGAAGTCATGAGACCGATGCACTTTCTTACAACCAGAGCGACAATTTTTATAGGTACATGGAATGTCCGGACAATGTGGGAAACCGGAAGAGTCTTCCAAATTGCTGCAGAAATGAGAAAATACAACCTGGAGGTGCTTGGAATCAGTGAAACACATTGGACGCAGGTTGGACAACAACGACTATCGTCAGGGGAACTTCTGCTATACTCCAGTCATGAAGAAGAAAACGCCCCACATACACAAGGAGTGGCATTGATGCTGTCCAGAAAAGCACAAAATGCACTTATTGGATGGAAATCTTATGGACCGAGGATCATCAAAGCCTCCTTCAAAACAAAGAGAGAGGGCATTACAATGAACATCATCCAATGTTATGCGCCGATCAACGACTACGATGAAAAAGCCTAAGACCAATTCTACGATAGACTGCAGTCAATCTTCGAGAAGTGCCCAACCAAAGACCTGACCATTCTGATGGGAGATTTGAATGCCAAGGTTGGAAAGGACAACACTGGATACGAAGACGTCATGGGACGACATGGACTGGGAGAAAGGAATGAAAATGGTGAGATTTGCAAACCTATATGCCTTCAATAAAATGGTCATAGGTGGCACCATATTCCCACACAAAAACATACACAAGGCCACTTGGATTTCACCGGATCACACTACACAAAATCAAATCGACCATATCTGCATCAACAAAAAGTTCAGGAGGACGATGGAGGATGTGAGAACCAGAAGAGGAGCTGATATAGCATCCAATCATCATTTGCTGGTCGCCAAGATGAAACTAAAACTTAAGAAGCACTGGACAACATCACAAAAGTTTAATACGGCCTTTCTTCGAGATGCTGAAAAACTCAACAAATTCAACATAGCCCTCAGCAACAGGTTCCAGGCCTTTCATGATCTACTCAATGGAGAAGGAACTACCATGGAGAGCAACTGGAAAGGTATCAAAAAGGCAACCGTCTCAACATGTCAGGAGGTTCTGGGTCAAAAGAAGCACCATCACAAGGAATGGATCACTGTTGGTACACTGGATAAAATTGAAGCAAGGAGGAACAAGAAGGCAGCAATCAGTATCAGCCGAACAAGAGCAGAAAAAGCCAAGGCACAAGGCGAATACACAGAGGCAAAGAAGCAAGTGAAGAGGGGCATCAGAACCGACAAACGTAAATATGTGGAAGATTTAGCAATGACAGCGGAAAAGGCTGCAAGAGAGGGAAACATGAGACAACTGTATGATACAACAAAGAAACTTGCTGGAAATTACCGTAAGCCAGAAAGACCAGTGAAAAACAAGGAAGGCAAAGTAATCAACGATATTGAAGAACAACGAAACAGGTGGGTAGAACACTTCAAAGAACTCTTGAATCGACCAGCTCCACTGAACCCACCCAACATCGAAGCAGCACCCACAGACCTCCCAATCGATATTGGCCCACCAACAATTGAGGAGATCAGCATGGCCATTAGACAAATCAAGAGTGGCAAAGCAGCGGAACCAGACAACATCCCGGCAGAGGCACTGAAAGCAAATGTAACAGCAATTGCTAAGATACTTCACATCCTCTTCAGTAAGATTTGGGACGAAGAACATGTACCAACAGACTGGAAAAAAGGACTTCTGATCAAGATACCAAAGAAAGGCGATCTCAGCAAGTGCGATAACTACAGGGGCGCTGGAAGTGGATTGGGCACACTTTGAGGAAATCACCTAATTGTCACAAGACAAGCCCTCACATGGAATCCTGAAGGTCAAAGGAGAAGAGGAAGACCAAAGAACACATTATGCCGAGAAAAAGAAACAGACATGAGAAGAATGAACAAAAACTGGATAGAACTAGAAAAGAAGGCCCAGGACAGAGTGGGTTGGAGAAAGCTGGTCGGCGGTCTATGCTCCATTGGGATTAACAGGAGTAACTTGGATGCTGGAACTTGGAATATATATATATATATATACCTTTCTTGTTCATTCCTCACTTGTATTTTGTTTTGATTTTTGTTAATTGATTATGGCTATTGTTGTGCTGTTATGGAGTATGGTGACTTCAACCGACGCTCTTTTGAGTATAGCTGTATGTTGTTGCTTGTCATCAAAAATCTCTAATCTATTGATTTGCTTTTTCACCAGGAATATATTTGTGAAATTTAATAAACTAATTTTATGTACTGATAACAGTGTATTGTTTATGAGTTATTTCAAAGTGGCAACATAAACACACAAGTGTTACAAATATTTTTTATAAAGAAATAGATTTTGATCACCAAGATAAGTTAACTAGAAAAAGTACAGTAGTAGGATACACGATAAATCAGAGTGAAGTTTATACCAGAATCAATGAATTAGCAAAATTACACAAGGACTAAGACTACAATTAAAAACGTATGAGAATACCCAATATACAAATATACATATATATACCAAGAAAAGTTTATCGTTCAATGAATTTGACTACTATGTGAAAAAACAAACGAGCAAGAAAGGTAATTCAATAACTGTTTATGTATAGATCGTGTGAGAATTAATTGTGCCACTACTTGGTTATTTAAACGTTGGTAAATTAAGCAACTTTACAAACCGATAACGCACTGGTTGAAAGTTCAGTATTTAAATCAATAAGTTGCAAATTTGTCAAGCACAATCTCTAATGAGTAGGATATGTACAAAAGTTTGAATAGAAACGAACAAGTTTTCCACCAGATAATAAACATAACAAATTCATTAAAATTGGATTTTAAAGTAAATTCACTGGATATTTGAAAGACAAAGGACTTTGGATTGAAGCTGACTGATACCTTATCTCCGAATAATTATAGCCTCATTTAAATGCATACTACATCAATACATTCCCAGTGTTCTTCCAGTTTAAGAGACAAATTCGATTAGTGGTGGAAAGTATACCCGCTAAGTCTAAGTATTACTCCTAAAAGTAATGAATGGAATGGTAATAATCTATCCTTTTCATAACTTATAAATTTTAACAAACCCAAAAGGTAATAAAACGTTTTTCATATCAACAGCTTTTCAAAATAATGAAATTTTGGAAGACGTGGATGGAGAGAGTACAAAATAGTTTGAGAAGGGCAAGATAAGCACTTTGTTATACAGTCATCAACAGATACAAAACAGAATGTTGTTAAAAATTTTAAGTTGGGTTTCCAATAGCAGTCTATATCTCCTGCTACATAAGCGATTAAAAATTAGCAATAACTGTTATATAGAAGTGAAGATTAAAGTACGGGTAACTTCTGGGATCTATTAATGGACTAATATTCTATAAATATTCTTATTGTATAATTATTCCGTAATTAGATTGTATGTATCGGCATTCATCTTATTATAAGCTTAAATTCACAACAATAATTATGGAATTATTGTTTAATTGTACAATTCACGTTTGAGATTCCTGTTGAGATTGAACCAAGAACTCTTAACCTCTACTACTAATACTTCACTCAATGATATAAAAAACATAAGCTTGAAAATCTAGTTGAGAGTAGGTGAGAAGCTTACAAACGATAAGTGCCATATTTTTTCGCAGTGGTGAGTAGGGTGATCATTGTTATATCCTAGCGAAGACATAAGTACGGGTAACTCCCAGGACCTATTAACGGACGATTATTCTATGTATATTCTTATTGTATAACTATTCAACAGTTAAACAATAAGAATATATATAGAATAATCGTCCGTTAATAGATCCTGGGAGTTACCCGTACTTATGTCTTTGCTAGGATATAACAATCACATCCCTTAAGATTACGATAAGTTGATTCTTTCAATATAGAGCGCTTAAGAAAGCTGAGTAGAACTACTAGGTTCCATGAAGTGACGCTTATAGTTCATCAGATAAATTTGTAGATGAATATTTGATTTATGAAATATTTTACTTTTTAATGAAACAGAAGTATAGTAGAACGTCAAATAACTTACTTGCATATAATTGACAAGATTACTATTACCACATATCTGTTGTACAGAATGGATAGTAGGAATGCTGTTACTATTGTCATTATGATTGTAATTAGCTGATGTATTCACACAGGTGGTAATCAACTGAGTTGACTGTGCACATACGTCCTTATTTGACTCGAAAATATTATCTGAATAATTTGTGGTGAATGGTATACAAGACTTCACATCCACAACATAAGTAGTAATTAGTGAATTTGAGATACACACACCGACAAGTTGATTGAAACTTGGAGCAACAGCCATATCGTCCAGACCCCCACCAGCACGCCAACCAACGTGTACAGTTTCTAGGCAAGACATATTCTCGTAATCATATATCTATGATAAATAAATAGTTATTCATTATGATATGGAAGCAGAAAGAGATTATACTAACTTATGACAATAGTATGGGAAATTAACATGTAACGACTACTAAATATATACACACCGTTAGATGTTGACTCAGTGTTCTAGAGATTAAGCATTCGTGCGCAAGACCAAAGGTTCTGGGTTAGAGTCCCGAATGTTTTATCGTGGATGTGCACTCCTAAGGAGTCCCATAGTAGGACGAAACGGCCGTCCAGTGCCTCTACGTTTTAAATGGTGGTCCAACTTAGATCGGTTTATAATCTCGATGAAATTCAACAATCTCTACAAACCCATACTGAAAATATAAACATATGGATTACTTCTGTATATCTACGTGTACATGAGCGGCGACTTTTTCGCAACACCTTCCATAAAGAAATGCATGTGAAATGTTTCGTCAACTTTTTTGTAAACTAGTACAAATGAATATGAATAGCCAGATAACTGATTATACAAAGAGAGGTCAGACAATACAATGTTATAAGATGAAAAGACAGGATTAGGATTACAGTTGCGACAAATCACACCTTGGGAACAATCGTTTCTTTATAACTGAAGAATAATCTGTAAAACATACACAAGCTACTTTGAGTACTGGAAATAATCATAAATGTAACTATGACAAATAATTCAAGAAGAACAGACAAGAGAAAATTTCTTTTAATTATTCTACGTGTATTGTTGATGGTAGCTATCTTCTGGTTAAGTCTGAATTTTCAGACAGAGGAGTGAATTCGATGAACATGAATGGCAAACGGTAACCGAAGTGATTTCAAAGCAAGAAAATTTAATTCATTACACACAAATTTACGAAAAAAACTATATCGGTTCACTGTGGTACAGTATTTGATTCCCAGTATGTCTAAATCAATGGGAACCGACAAGCACCGTAAACTAAAACGAGACAGCAATCAATTTATAACAATAAATACATTTAAGCACTCGTTATCAAAAGTAGACATTCACTACTCTAACATCTTGGCAGTGACTTATTCAAATACTGTGTTAAGAAACACCATCTCAAAGACAAAGTTTCAATTTCTTGTGTTGAAAATACAACTCGTTTACGGAACTTAGCAAGCTCGGAGAGTTAATGTTGACTAGCCTATATAACAATGACAGTATATATATATATATATATAAACGCAAACTCACTCTGAGATAATCGTTTGTAGCCACATACAAACACACGCCATCCGGATGAAATGCAATACGTCTCACATTGGTGGCGTTTAATTCTGACCCACTGACGGCAACTTGTGTGAAATTTTCCAAGTCATACAAACGGACAGTATGATCAGCTGAGGCAGTTGCAAGCAGAAGAACAGTAGGATGAAATGTAACTGCAACAACAGGTCCAGTATGGCCAACTAATTCGGCCAACTGTCGACCAGCTGATAAATCCCAAAGCTATTGGTTGAAATAAAAATTAGGACAAAGTGGGGATTTTTGGTATTTGAAGTAAGAACCAACGAAATCCAAATAACAGCAATAAACAGTACAGTGATAAACAGATATAATTTACCATTTTATCGTTATAACGCCGATTTCAGCAAATTCTTGTAAAAAAGCATTATACTAGTGTAAAAACGACACGTCTCACATATATACGGTGTTGAATGAACAAATTTATTTCAGTAGCAGTAAGGGTTACAGTCGCGTCGCCAATATACGGATTACTAGATCGAGTGGTACAAAATAAATAACATGCTTTTACATCACTTACTTCTCATCAGAAGCATTTAGTATAACTAGGTAAAATATAATTACCTATGAGTAAACAATTTCAGCATTTACATTTGAAGTATGTGTTTATATAGATTTTCTTGATAGTTTGGATAATTAACATAATTTTAATAAGCCATAAAAGTGATCGATTACATTTTACTGTTAAGTTCCAGCTAGGTAGTCATATATAGTCATTATATCTATTATCACTAGGTAACTTGATGAAAAGGTAATGAAACAATATCTTAATAAAAACAGATGATCTGAAAGGAAATCTTTTTCTTCATATTGTGTAAGACAGTCGACAAGACTGAATATTTGCGTGTCCCCTATCAATCAGAAGATAAACTAATTTATAAGTACAGTAAATGAAAATCCAGTCTACCACATACTTGAATCGTTGAAATGAATTTAATGTAGAAGCGTATATTTTCTAGTTTCCGAACGACAATATGTAATTTTTCTGAATAATTAGAATCAATTACAAACGAAAATTTTCTTTTCGACGAAATCATTTACTTAAGGCGTTTGTAGTTACTCGATAAATACAACTCAATTTATTTGATTTTGTCAACTCAATTAGAAATATCAACGTAAATGGTGGAAAAACGATCTCGATTGGGTGTCACTTCTTTCTTTACAAATGTCCCGCTCACAAAAACTGTTTTTGATGTGACTTTAGTGAAAATAACAACGTTGATATTTGTACCCCAAAACATTATCTAGAAGAGCTACTTCTACCATGTAATGTCAATGTGCGATCCAGATTCACTAATGATTTGTATAGACAAACTGATGGAGTTCCAACGGATTAAACAGTGAGGCCTTCTTTGCTGATTGTTTTATGGCCAATCTGGAAAATGAAACACCTCGAACAATAATTGAGAGATTTTATCTATATAGGAAATACATGGATGATAATAATTATTTGTGAAGATATGAGCCCCAGTGAAATTTTAGATTGATTCAATAATTGTCATCACTCAACTCAATTCACATTGGAAGCACAGGAGAACGAGGAATCTCATCTTCTTGATGTCCGGTTGAAAAGAGGGTTAGATGGTTCTTTACAGAGATTTATATATAAAAAACAGACCTGGAATGGTCAGGATACGAATTTCCATAACTGAGTCCCATTGTCTAGAAAGAGATACAATTCATTCTTTATCCTCAAAGATTAGGTGAATATGTTCTAATGACACACCAGATGAAGAACTACTTTAGCTTTGACAGATACTCATCAGAAATAGTTACCCACCTAGACTTGTGTTAAGTCGGCTTCCAGCGAACTCCAACAGAGCCTCGAGAGGCTCAAAAAGAGCCCCAACGAATCAGAGTACGACAGAACATTCTGGAGTTCCAACGTGTCATGCTACCATTGGTCAGTAGCAATTTATGTCGTTAATTGGATTGGCTGAATTAGGATGTTGATTTAACTTAAGCAAACATCTATAAATACCTACGATTTTCTGTACAAAGATGATCCTTGCAGTAAATGTTTTCTCTGATACCCGTGTCTTCTCTCTGGTCTTCAAGTTGCTGAGTAGTGCTAGTCATGGGGTTATCGGAATAGCTTAGGATCCGAATAAGACGTTCAACCTACAAGACATATCAACTTGTTTACAGGAGCTTAACAATAAGACAACATCCTGAAAACGCAACAACGGTCCAAATGAAGTTCTTTTTATGAATATCGAACTTAAAGGAGATACGGCTGCTGAAGTCTCAAATAAACGGATTTTAAAACCCCTGAATAAAACCTTCTACTCAGCTAAGCTTCATAATGTTTTCTCAAGCTGGTCTACCATCCACAGATGAGTTAAGAATCAATTTTCGCTATGGGCCGCATAGATGTGCATCCATAAGTTTAGTCGCTCCTGTGGGGCGGGCTATGTTGACTTCACAAAGCGACCATTTTCCAAACGCAGAACATTAAGACGGGAATGAAAAACAGTTACCAATTCAATACACGAGCATTTGATTAACTCCAGACGCGTCGCTCTGGAGTCTTCGTTTAAAATAATCTACTCAATCAAAGGCACTGGATCGAAGGGAGGTCGAATCAAAAACTTATGCACTGCTGAGGCGTTGGCGATCCACTAATTTAAGCCCGAACTCTGTGTGCAAAAGAGATACGTCCAAGCTCTTTTCTTTATTTGGCCTTAATTAACTTCTGTCGTATGTTTTGGTTTTGCTTTTTTTCGAATTATTTTTTCATAGTTTTAAACTGGAATCAGTTATTATTATCCTTTAACAATTTTTAATGATTATTATATTCAGTTATTACTATGATCTTTAAGTTTTTCGTTTTCCTTCATATCTGGCAAGAGGACAACAATATTTGATAATTTTGATCCGTAAATTATTTTCATCCTTCTATTCTTCTCTAACCACCTCATTATCACGTGACCTCGTTTGATATTTGAAATTCTGAATCGCTTTATGATCTAATCTTTTCTACCTTTCCATAGAGATATTTACCAAACAACTACAAGTACGAATGTACAGCTTAAGTAAACGACTTTGTCTAAGAGAATGTTATTTTTCGCTGAATTCTTTATGCCGACGAAAAATATAAGACATACATCCTGGAAAAAAACATTTAGTCGTAATAATTCACTGAAAAAAGTTTACGAAACCTTAAATCTTTAATACCCCAAGAAAGGAAGCTGAAATGTTATAAATTTGATGGTAAAAATTACTATGCTATCAATAATGACCGACGAAACTTCGGATAAACTGACTGGCATTATTCGAAGCGTTTATATCCGTTAAGTCTAGAAGTCCAAATCGGGTAGATCAAAACAATAGACAGATAGATAACATTAAGAATATTCTTATCAGGCTTTCATTCTGTTTGACAAAACAAGACATCTTGTCTGATGACGTAAGAAACATGTGTAAGCAACACAGACTGTGATTTACATTGTTGAACAGTCGAAGTATGACGAAATAACGTGGGTAGCTTACAGACACTATCAGCAATAAGTTACTGTGGGAAAGAACAAACCAGATTCCAGCAGAGGAAGAAATCAGGAAGAAGCGCTGGAAGTGGATTGGGCACACTTTGAGGAAATCAGCTAATTGCGTCACAAGACAAGCCCTCACAGGGAATCCTGAAGATCAACGGAGAAGAGGAAGACCAAAGAAAACATTACGCCGAGAAATAGAGACAGACATGAGAAGAATGAACAAGAACTGGATAGAACTAGAAAAGGAAGCCCAGGACAGAGTGGGTTGGAGAAAGCTGGTCGGCGGCCTATGCTCCATTGAGAGTAACAGGCGTAAGTAAAAGTAAGTAAGTTTACAGATTAAGGAATATCCAAAAGAGTTATTTATGAGAACAGTATAAGCGTTAGTTAAGCTTTTCCCAGTAATAAAAAGAAACAAAAGATCAGAGTACTACAATTTGGTCGAAATGTATGAATCCACAATACAGAACAGTGATATATTCAACAATCATTTATACGTAAAACTGATGGGTTATCCAGTTAGTTCTCCAGAAACAGTGTCATTTAGAAGTTACGGAAAAAAATCTAAATTATCACGGATAGAATAGATAACAATCAAAATGAACATGAAATGATGTTCATCAAAAAAAAAATAGTTTCCCTGATTTAGGTACTTGACTGGGAAACGCATAGTTAAAGTCAAATGTTTTTTTTAACTGCCGATGCCCTCGACCGTAGCCGTTACCTTGACGTAGTGGTCGGGCTTGCCTATCGTGATTACCTGACCGAGCTAAAGGGACTGGGACATGTTTCTGTAGGTTCTACCATACCAGGCAGGTCGATTGGAGAACAGTAAAGACTAAAAGTAGCAACTCAAGGTCTGAGGGCGAAGTCGTACTGTCAACTATAGAGGGGTGTAACAGTAGTAAGGTGTTTCCCTCGGACAACCAGCATCTGTAGAGATGCTACCTTCTTACAGACAGATGCTTTTCAAATGAGGACCGGAGTCATACAAGGCTGCTTACTCTCCCTCGTCCTCTTTCTTCTGGTGGCCGACTGGGTTATGAAGACCTCAACATCTGAGGGAAGGCACGGAATACAATGTACAACTCGGAATCAAATAGAAGATTCGGACTTCGCAGATAACCTAGCCCTTCTATCCCATACACACGAACAAATACAGGTGAAGAGAACCAGTTCAGTACCAGTCTCTGCATCAGTAGGCCTCAACATACACAAAGGAAAAAGCAAGATTCTCAAGTACAACACAGAGAACAATAACCCAATCACACTTGATGGAGTGGCCCTGGAAGATATGGAGTCTTTCACGTACCTGGGAAGCATCATCGATGAACAAGGAGGATCCGATGCAGACGTAAAGGCAAGGATTGGCAAAGTAAGGGTAACATTTTTACAGTTGAAGAACATATGGAACTCAAAACAACTGTCAACTAATATCAAAGTTAAACTCTTCAATACGAACGTCAAGATTGTTCCACTGTACGGAGCTGAAACTTAAAGGACTACCACAACCATCATCAAAAACGTATAAGTACTTTTAAACAATTGCCTACGTAAGATACTGAATGTCCGTTGGCCAGATAACATCAACAATAACCTACTGTGGGAGTAAAAAAACTAGCTTCCAGCTGAAGAGGAAATTAGGAGGAGATGCTGGAAGTGGATAGGACACACGTTGAGAAAATCACCAAACTAAATCATGAGGCAAGCGCTAACTTGTAATCCTGAATGGAAACGGAAAACAGTTAGGCCGTGGAACACACTGGGTCGAGAATTGGAAGCAGACATGAAAAGTATTGTTTGGGACAGGATTGGATGGAGAGTCCTGGTGGGTGGCCTTTGCTCCTTGACGAGGGTTAACAGGATTAAGTATGCTAATGTAAAGTTAAATGTTGTAGTGAAAATATTCTATACTGACAGATGAACTTTTAGTTACGCAGAATATAACTAATTTATTTTAGGATATCCAAATGACAGTTACTAAAATTATCCTGAGGTTCATTTTGGTAATTATTGTCTTTTTCAGTGTTTTTGGCTAATATTTACCACTTGAGAAAACAATGATAACTACGATTTAAGCTTCCTAAACAATTAACATCTAAATAGAAAGGAACTACTGTAAACTATCGTTACAAAACTGTTTTCTTTTTAAAATATACTCCCTATAGACAAAAGACAACAGTTCAAAAAACAATTTGGAAGTCTTAATACACAGAATCACAATAAGCCTTCCCAATAAGTACTTTAGCTCAATCAAAACCACAGGCGGAACTATTCGATGACCCTGAGATTATTTTCCGTGGTTGTTGTTCTGACCATGTAAACACTTTTATTTACTCACTTCATTTTTTACTAGTGGGGTATTTAGAAATCTGAGCAGTAGCTGGCTAATTGAAAGAAGACAGAAATATGCTCAATATGTCATATATAATTGACTCATTTTATTTTGTAAATGATGACCCTTACTCTGTATTTGTAACGGTACGCTTTGGTTGTTAATACCTGATTTTTGATCAGACGGTTTAATATATATCTTTGGTTGAGTGATTTAGCATACTTTATGTTCTAAGGATTGGTTTCGAAGATGAGATGACCAAAGGCCTTAGAAAAAATGAATTGAACAGAAATGCGTACAGCCAACAGTCTGTTGCATAAGATGGACAAACTAACATATATATTGGATACAATAGAACGGCCTTGATTAGTGTCGATTCACCTTGACATGAATAAGAAAATAAGCTACAATAACCACATCAGAATGTATAAAGGGGGGATAATAATTTGTTGGACTTGGGCCATCGTTACATCAACCTTACGGTATGGCTCCAGTTGGTATACTGGCTGTCCATGGCAAAATATCATCAAAGCGATTGGTTGTAACATAGTCGACAAAACTGAACACCCATATTTAGGTTGTCTTATTATTTAAGACTTTCCTGTCAAAGGACTACCTGGCTTCGGACATAGTTTTTAAATATTTTATTCATCAAACAATGCAGTTTTACATGATTTACAATGATACATTCAAGGAATGAGAATATATAAATGAATACAATGTGCGAACACGTGGCCGTAAAGATAATATTGATATCTGACATTTATATGAATACAAAAAGTTAGAATAATATTACCTTAATCATTTAAATTGAAGTCTATACTTTGTGCTGAATTACTCATGTTTGAGTAGTTATATTTTTAGCTTACAATTATGCAGTTGTTACTTTCGTTCTAAAAAAGCGGGAATCCAGATACACTCTGCTTATTATGCTCGTGACTTATAGCAATATCGAGGCAATCCGTACAGGATGCATATGTGTCGATAAAAGACTGATCAATTGCAGTCCGAAACACGTCAGTGGGAAGATTCAAGCAACCAATACAAAGAAGAACTAGACTTCACCCCATTGCACAAGCTAGTGGCTATCTAAACGCAGTAAGTAAGTGGATGACGCGACAGCGTTTGAGGCGAACGGTACTGAGTTAGAGTACCGGAGTGAACATGAACCCTGAGATACAGGTATATTCAGCCTGCGAGTTCCAAATGGGAGGAAAAGCGGGTCCTGGATTTCACTGTTGGCCACCATTCACCTCTGCTTATAAAGTTATTTAAGTTACATTTTGTGAAACGAAAATAACTTGGTAGAGATAGGTTTATAATACGAGTTTGCCAAATGATAGCTTCAAAACTAAAATAACCTGATCGACTATCTCTATGTTAAAAGATTTTATCACAGACAGATATTCTGAAAATAAATTCCGTTTTATAAATTATTAAGACTCAGAGCTTTCAAATATAAATAGCGCTATTTCCCTCATACATCTAATAGTAATCTGAAGGATCTATATGCTTGTCATAATATTTAAATCGTTTATTTCACACAAGCAACTAATTTGAAGTTCCTAATGACTTTTTGGTGTATTCGTCTGCACCCGATTTCTGTATTGCAGGCTAACAATGTATTTTTAAGAAACAATAGTATACTTAACCGATGACTTGTATTGAGGATTCGTATTTTTGAAAATTCTGAATCTATGGATAGGTACAGACATGCCTCAACATTTCAACAAGAAACAAGGGGTTGTCAGTTTTGAATTAAATGGTTGAAACAGCTAACACATTCAAACATGTGTGGTAAATCAAGTCATCAATCAATCAAAGTGAAAGATGGAGTTACTTACAAACGTATACAAGTTTCATATTCTTTTAACAAGCATTTCAGTAAGAACTCACTTTAATTATTCCATCCTCTCCAGCAGAAACAATCCATTTCCCATCAGGAGAAAAGCGAATCATGTTAACAGAACCAGTATGACCCCGGTAAGTATTAATGCAGCCTTTACGAGATACATCCCACAGCTAAGTGATGAGGAAATTAGAGTAACCAGTTAATACACAACGGTAAGTTTTGTTTTCGAAATATTTAACTACTTAAACTTATAAAATTATTGGTGACAATTGCAGCTTTGAAACGAACAATGAGCGTTGAAAACTATGAAATACCCTGATACCTACTTTTAAAATGAATGAAAATCTATGTACTTTAGGAGAGGGATATTTCAATGAAGTGTACTTTAAGTTCAATTTGCTTTCATGGGAGCGCTATCAGTAACTTGACATGTAATTTACACATCAGATATGTGAACTTTACGGAATGAAACGAGTTACCATACACTAAAACCACACTATATTGTTTACTGAACTTTACAACATGATACATCCATTTTATTTAGCTTATTATATCTAGTTTTGAACTCTTCCTACAAATGGATAAGTTCGAACAGTAAACAAAATGGATTATATCAAATACATACAAGTTTAATAGAAAAGTTTATAAGCAAAACAATTAGGTAATGGGAAATATCTCACCTTTACAAGGGTATCCATAGAGCCTGAGGCTACAAAGTTACCATATGGATGAAAGTCCAAAGTTTTGATAGCTGATGTGTGACCAGACAAGGCTCGAACAACTATAAATAGTAATAAGACTAAAATTGGATTATTCATTGAAACAATCGTGTAAAAAGCAACCAGTCATTTGGTTACATAGCATAAGCATAATTACTGAAACATAAAATGTAGGGTATTCGTGTGGTAGCCGATATTGCCTAACTTGCACACACATGCAAGAAACTACAGGATGATTATCTGAAGACAGTAATAATTGATGTAACTTATTTGCCGACTACATTTACATCACCTTAGTGACTTATTCTGCCTAAAAAATCCAAAGCTTACTAAACAAGCATTGTCTCACCTAATATGTTGTGAATAATCCTAATTGTGCGGAATAAAATAAAAGAGCATATATGCCCGATTCATACCAAATGAGACAGAATCCGGACCCGTGATATGATAGAAAAAAAGAGTGCCTAAAGTGCTGAATAACGACAATGGTAATTAAGATTATTGGGATGATTATTTGGTAATAGATAAACATATAAATTACCTTATTCTTTATGTTAGCTATGAAATAGTAGATCATACTTATAACCTAGTACACGATTCAGTTTGTGATCGCGTTAAAATATTTCTATTCGCTAAATTATCCTATAAATGGAGCATGAAAGTCAGTCATCAAAATGTAAGACACTTATGGATAAAAAGTTTTATGCATGCCAGATAATCTGCAGGTTTATAAGTAAAATGGATTACTTTTGTCTGTTACTATTTCTATAAGTTTTAGATAAGACAAATATTCTAGTCAATAAAGAACCCAGTAAAAGTCATAAACAAGCAGTGTAACAATGTATCTGATAGTCGAAAGCAAGGATGATAGACTTTTAGCCACATATTTGAACCCGAATCTACTTCTTATAGCCTGAACAACTATGCATTGTAGTAAAAGTATACATATGTTACCCAGTGAGTCTCAGGTCCAAATTACGCTCCCACTATTTCGGTTTCAGTGACAAATTTGTATTAATAGTCCTCACAATTAATTGAACACACAAACATGTACTTGATTACTGAGTTGAATCGTAATAATGAATTTTTTGGACATTGAGGAAGGTGATGTATGGGATGTTGATACTAATTGAAATAATTGAATCTTTTCGCTCAATCCATCGACTGGGTTACCTTTTCATACTGTCTTATACTTTCTAAAGTGAATCATTTCACTAAACTTCCAGGTTTAAGTTTGTTTCAGAAAAAAAAAGATAGAAACAGTCATCTAAATGTGGCTTACTCTTAACTTCCTCCAAATCCCAAATACGGACAGAACCCGATAAAGACCCAGCTGCCACTCGATCTTCCTCCTGACTAAATTCAGAAGCTTCTATGGATGATGTATGCCCCGTCAAACTTAAGATACAAGAAGGTTTTCCAACAGCCCACAGTTTCAAGCGGCGATCTTCTCCTCCAGTGGCCATTACTCGACCAGATTTACGGCCTAAAGTTGCCGCAGTAACCGCGCCTGGAGAATGAGCGATACATTCTTCTATAGTAAGAAAGTAAACAAACAAATATGCTACTGAAACTAACTGTTGATTGGGTGGTCAAGTTATAAAATAATAGGTGACGGACAGACATTAATGAATAAACAAACATATGGATTTAAAGTGAATAATTACCATTGTTTATTAGAATAAGATACATAATAAGACTATATGCACAAAGTTAAAAAGTAGCAGATAAAACATACACTATCCTAGATAAGACCGAAAATCTGCTAAGGAAAAGTGATATAAAAAGATCTCATCATTACTTGACAAAATTCTGGTAAGTTACTGCTACAATTATTAGCTACGACTACGAAGAAATCTAAAACTTACTATTTTTACAATATATATTCGTTTATTTCAACACAAATATATACAAAAGGACAGCAGAATACATTTGAGCCACACAATAAGAACATGAGATTGTGAGGATATTGGGAAAAGAAAGTGGGTATGATAAAAAATAGTTAAATGAGAGTATAAAAAACAAATGGAGAACCGATTCAGTTAAGAAAAATGCAACAAGAAAAGACTTTTAGTTAGAAGAGTTCCGCTCACTTATATGAAGCAAGAAAAAGAAAATTACAGCAAGAGAGCAACTACCTTCTATTCTGAACCAAGTTTGAAAATTTATGAAGGTAATGTTCAACTATCTCAAGGACCCCAACCAAGAGGTCATGAACGATTGGCAGATGACAGTCCTGTAAAGTTTTCTTTCATATATCATAAACTTGTCATCAGTTCGTTTTTTTGCAAAGCTTGCGTAAGGACAGAGGAGCTTGATGGTCGGAGCGTGCTGACGAGTTGGAAGCAGCAACTGCATCTAGTAACTGCCAAAAACTGTTTCAACTCATCCAAGTCACTGGCAGCAAGCAGTCTGGTATGAGTGAAACAATTTGTGAAGATTACGGGATGCCAATCAAAAACATCTACCGACGTCTTGGACTATAGGCAGTTTTTTATGACCAATTCAACTGATTTGCTGCCCTGAAAACATCGATCACATCTTCCTATCCTCCATGGTTCGTAACGACTGATCTACCTAACGAGGCGGAAGTGTGCAAGGAAATATAACTCCTGAGACGACACAAATCACCAGGCTCAGATAATTTAACTAAGACACTTTTTAAAGATGGTGGCGACCTTCTGGTTACGAAACAAACTGAGTTATTTTAAAATGTCTGGCAATTAAAGTTTTCCGACTCCGGATAACCGCGAGTTTGAACACAAACGACGATGGTGGTGACTTTCTGGCTAAGGAACTGACTGCGTTGTTTACAAAGGTGTGACAATTAGAGAGTATTCCAACATCATGGAATGAGTCGATAATTGTCCCTATCATTAAAAAGGGTTCACGTCGTCTTTGCAACAACTATCGGGGATAGGTCCACTTCCGATTGCGTCTAAACTAATGGCTCCCGTCATGCTTCGTATATTGTTCAGAACCCGTGGAAGATTAGTTCGCGAGAAGCAGGCTGGTTTTCGTTGTGGTCGATGACATATTGATCATATCTTCGCCCTCCGCCAAATGTTAGAACACCGTCATACTTGCCACAGGCCAACAATCGTTATGTTTATCGACATCAGGGTCGCCTTCGATTCGTGGGGCAGGACAGTTCTCTGGGATCGCCTGTTGAAGAAGGGTGTGGCTGAGAAGTTTATTAACATCTGGAAGGCTTTATATACAAATATCTAAAGAGGATACAACCGCCTCTCCTTATTGTTTCGTCAATACAATGGGGTTCGACAGGGTTTCCCAACCTTATCAGTCCTCTTCTACTTTGCCATAGATGATGTTCTGGAAACAGCTCTGATAGATGTACCTAATGGAGGTATGTGTCTATTGTCTGGAAAAAACTTCTTGACCTTCAGTATGCGAATGATTCTGTCTTACTGTGCAATGATACCCAAGCCATCTAGTCCTCACTTAATCAATTGGCAATTAGTGTCCGTAGGTATGGTATGTGCTTTGCACTATCCAAGTGACAAGTGCTTTTACAAGGCTGGTAAGATCCTGATCCGAGACTCACCCTGGGTATTGAGCGGATAGAAGTAGTCGAGAATTTCGTGTATCTGAGTAGTTGTGTAAATGCTAGTGGTGACGTGAATAATGAGATCGATGCATGTATAGTGAAAGCCAAAGCGGCTTATGCCAATCTGGGCTATCTTTGGCGCCTTCGTGATGATATTCTGGCTGTAGAAGGTCAGATCTACAACGCGTCGGTGAGAGCAGTTTTGCTCTATGCTTGTGAAACCTGGCCTCTCCGAGTTGAGGATATTAGATGACTCTGTGTTTGGTCATCGTCGTATCTGAGGGATTGCTGAATTTTAGTGGCAACACTATGTTAATAATGCGGAGGTTCGGCAGCGTATGTTTTGGCACAGAGACGATAATTCAATTGATGTCACCATCTTGAAACATCGACTTCGGTGGCTTGGTCATGTTCTACGAATGTCGTCTCAGAGAATTTCACGTCATGCACTATTTGCCGACGCTGGATAGGAAAGGCGGAGAGGTAGTCAGTGTATGACATGGCGTCGTAGTATGAAAGCTGTACAGAACTGGCTTCTGTTGGACCTTCACCACTCCCTAGTTGGGGTCCTAGAGATGGTGAAACACAGTGGCTTGAGACGTTATCAGACATGGCTCAGAATAGAAGCCAGTGACCATCCCACTGTAACTTTATTTTATTTTCTCCATAAAAGTGAATGTAACTTCTTTATCTGAAAGAATTATTGCTGATTATATTTTTACCAAGCGAACTGTTTCTCCCATTTTCATTATTGCTTCACTCTCATACACTAAATTTTGTTCGTTGTTCTTATTATTATACGCACTTCACATTATCTATCTATTTACAATCTCATTGTTAATGTGTGGCGTATATATATTTGGTGCCTCCCCCTACCACTATTTATGTTCAAATAAGTAAATAAATTTAATGAGTGCGTAATCTACAGAACCAATAAATCAACTGTTTCAGCTAGTAAATAGAAGTAGATCTCTGAGTTACATTTTGCTTCTTCCTAACGGTTAGTAGGCTTGTTTGCTAGTAAACCAAATGGTGAATAAATTACGAAAAGTGATGCAAATATAATTCAGTAATGAAACATAACGATGCATGTGATAATGTTCGCGACACGTAATGCGTGAGAACTTAAACCATTATTCAGATACTTACCGAAAGATACTCAAATTGAGTTTGAACCTGTGACTTGACAGCTAGGAATTAGTTAAAGTCATTAGAATAGACGGGAATATAATAGATGAGTTGGTAAAAGCTGGTAGGGAAATACAATATGTTCGTACAAATTCATATCAATGAGTCGAATCAGTGACTAATTCCACAATCCATCCGGCTGGTAAAGTAGCCAAAAAGTACTGTTAGTCTTGTTTCAGGCTAATATTTGAGCTGGTGATAAACAAGTTTCAATGCAGCCTTACCAACCAATAACTAGGTGGTCTCTGAAGTCTGTATCTCAAACGATCAAATCATATGTTATTTTTTCTTGATCACCATAATAAATTCCTAAGTGTCAACTACATTGTCGTGAGTGTTAATCAAAGATATGTTAGGAGAATGTTTAAAAAAAAACTATTATCTACGTACATAGCTCACCTACCAAGTACATGGATTTAAAGTAATGATACTAAACGGCTTTCGAAACTGAAGTAGGTGGAGGAGCATTTGAGCCTGTGACCTACTGGTTCAATCTCAAGTTCCCTAACTACCAAGCCACCCCTCTACATAAACACGTATAGAGATTATAAATAGGCGATGGGTCACAAAAAAGGTAAGCTTTCAGCCAAAAGTAGTGAGCATTATAAAATGTTCGATTTACAACCACTTCACTATTTTAATAGTCGAAATGAGAAGAAATACCCGAAACTTTTATGGTATTAGTATACAACTGAGTGGATATCCTTGACTTGTGTAAAGCCGCAAATATATTTATTGTTAAATATTACGAAATAATGTTGCTGGTACGGATTCTTACGAAATAAGAAACAAAGTATTGTAGGCTAGCTGGATGTCTTTAGCAATAGAATAAGCCACAACATAATTGAGGAAAAAGCTGAATACCCTCATAAAAAACATCATCGTTGAATATGTGATAAACATTGGTTTTTCTGGTAGATTGAATTGACAGGACTTAAGACAGTTAATTTAACACTTATTCCTCATGGAACATCTATTTCTGCTAATCAAAGCCACAAAAGACGACATTATCGATTTTTTTCAATGCAACCGGTTAATAAGAAGCAACATCAATACTCGCTCAATGGAGTGATCTTTTTATTAGGCTCAGAGGATATGCAGTCAGAAAAGACACTTGAGTGGATCCTATGTTGTCGTGGCTAAAAGAACAGATAATGGCGACCGTCTGTTGCAGCTATGCTCAGATAACCGCCTATTTCTTGCAAACACTAACTTTAAGCACAAGGAAAAACATCTTTTGACATGGCGACCCCCGAATTCGTCCCAACGTTGGACCCAATTAGATCACATCGCTATGAGCCACCGATGGAGGGGCTCGATAGAAGACTGTCACTCATTCTGGAGCACATGTTTAGACTCGGATCATGCTCTAGTGCGATTGCGTATCTGTCTGCGTCTTACTGGACGTAGGAAAGACACTGCAAAGAAACCTCTTAGGGTTTTACTTAACGATAAGCAAGCTAAGAATATATTTCAGCAACAACTAGAAAGACAGTCAGGCAGACATGTCAGTTGTGCCCACCCCGAGGCAGCATGCAATGACATCCGTAAAGTTATGGAGACAGCAGTGACATCCTCTAGTAAGGTAAACCATAAGGTTAGGGGGAAACACTGGACCTCAGCAGCATCTACCGCACTGATAGATGCTCGAAAACTCATCCCATCTGGCTCTGAACATAACGAAGAGCGGAGTCAGCTTAAGCGAAGGCTAATAAGAAGCCTACGCAATGATCGTGAACAGTGGTGGGTAGCCAAAGCAAGAGAAATGGAAAAGGCAG